TTATTTTCCAATTTTTATCTACCCGTGATTAAACTATTATTTATCACTGTAATATTTTTGCCTTCTAAATCTTTCCAGTATATAAATTGGCTATTTCTGAATTCTGAAGAAGTTTTGTAGAATTTGAAGCATGTTTCTCTGCAATTATGTATAATTTCTTGAATTTCAGATTTATAGATATCATACTTTGTAGACAGAAAAAATACAGGCTCTTCTCAAAGTGTTAGATTAAATGAGATGGCCTGCTGATAAACCCAAGGTTGTTTTGTCTCTGTTGGAGTCCTCCTTTCCCCGTTAGTTTAAGTCTTCCTCATGGATTGAGCAAACTCTATTCTTTGTCTTTCCTAAGTTGATAGTTTATGATTGGACACATGTTCATTAAGCATTTGTCAGTTACTACTACTTTTAGTTGTCAGTTAAACTAACAAACATGTATTGTTATTTATGTGTATTCAGTATAAAATAATAAAAAACTATATATCATGAAAGATGGAGCAACATTTAGTTTTTTTTTTTTTTTTTTTTTTGGTCTTTCAAGACACGGTTTCTTTGTGTAGCCCTAGCTGTCCTAGAACTGACTCTGTAGACCAGACTGGCCTCAAACTCACAGAGATCTGCCTCCCTCTGCCTCCCTAGTGCTGGGATTAAAGCTGCACCACCACCACTCAGCCTCAGTGTAGTTTTAATTTGCATTTCTCTAATGGCTGGGGGAGGTTAACATTTTTTTCCACGTGTCTAAGAACTGTAGACTGTTATCTGCAATAGGATAGTTTGACCTTTTCCTTTTTGTGTCCTCGTTCCTTCTCTTGACTCATCACTCCAGCTAAGACATCCATCATTATGTTGAGTAAGGATGGAAAAAGTGAGCTAGGTGTGGTGGCGCATGCTTTTAATCCCAGCACTGGGAAGGCAGGGACCAGTAGAGTTCCCCGCCAGCCAGGTCTACACAGTGAGATCCTGTCTCAGGAAAAAAGTGGAGAAAGGGACATTCCTCCTGCAAGATGGCTCAACAGGTGTATGTACTTGTATGACCTGAATTTGATCCTTAGGACCCACATGATCTCATGATGTTTTCTGACCTCCAAACACACACACACACACACACACACACACACACACACACACTTTAAAACAAATAAAAAAGTGAATGCCCTTGTGTTGTTCTTGATTTTAGTCGAAATGCTTTCGTACAATTAATGTTGGCTATATTTTTGTCATATGTAAGTCTTTTCAGGGCTTTTGTGAAAGGATGTTGGATTTTGTCAAAACACATACATCTGTTGGGATGAAACTGATTTCTCTCCTTGAGGCCATTGATGTGATTGTTACATATATTGACTTACATATGTTGAATCTTCCCTCCCTTTCTGCCGTGGTGAATGAGCTTTTTGGTGTGTTCTTCAATTCTGTTTGCTGGCTTTTTTCTTTTCTTTTCTTTTCTTTTCTTTTCTTTTCTTTTCTTTTCTTTTCTTTTCTTTTTTTTGGATTTTTCGAGACAGGGTTTCTCCGTAGCTTTTGGTTCCTCTCCTGGAACTAGCTCTTGTAGACCAGGCTGGCCTCTGCCTCCCGAGTGCTGGGATTAAAGGCGTGCGCCACCACCGCCCGGCTGCATCTGTGTTAAGCAGGGGAATTGGTCAGTAATTTTTCCTTATTTGTTATGTCTTTATAAGAAGAGGTTGGTACTATTCCTCCCATTTCTGTTCTGTGGAATAGTTTGAGACATTTTAGAAACCATTGCTGTGGAGTTGCTACTTTTTGGAGGACTCACTTTGCCTTTATTTCCATGTTTATTGTGTTTTTTTTTTGCATCAGGACTTGAACATCTAGGGTTAGGTCACTGGTTGGAATTTTCTCATTGTTTTTTCTCATCCTTGTTCTTTCAGGGGAACTGCTTGCAGTGTTCAAGAAGCGATTAGATTGTTCAGGTTGAGGTGTCATTTCCCGCTGCTAGAATGGTGTTGAGCCCCAGTCCTAGTTACCCCACCCCAGAACAGAATACCGTTCATGTAAACAACCGTCTCTTATTTACTCCAGTGCAGCTCTCACTGCATTCCTTCTCGGGCTTCCAGACGCCTTAGAAACCCTGTTGGATCTGCAAATTTGTTTTGCTTTTCTCAGCTTTTACCAGACTCTGATAAAATGGACTTCCCTTCTGTAGTGCACTGGTCTTTCACGAAAGATGTGAAGGGCTGATTTGGAGTCTGCATGTTCGTGTTCTGAGCAGAGCCCTATTTCCTGGTGCTGTTTCCTCTTGAAATACTGTGTTTATCTGAAGGGAGCAGTTGCCACTCTGCCAGCGATGCTGCCTTCTACCCCAGTTGTCTGTCTGTCCTTTCGGTTTATTGAGACAGGGTTTCTCTGTAGCTTTGGAGTCTGTCCTGGAACTCGCTCTTTAAACCAGGCTGTCTTCAAACAACTCTCTGCCTCCCAAGTGCTGGGATTAAAGGTGTGTGCCACCATCTCCTGGCATACCTGTTTTTCTAATCGGTAGCACTACACATATATTGTGTTCTTTAGATATTAGTATATCTATCTTCTAGAAGATTGAAACGTAGTTTAAAAGTATATACATCAAGCCACATTTCTTTTCCATTAATTGCTGTCTGGTTTGGTTTGTCTGAATAAACCACATAACCAAAGATTTGGTAACTGCAGCTTTCCTTATCTAGTCTGTTACCTGGCCCAGTACTTGGAAAGTACTTTGCATACCAATAAATGTGACAGGTCTGTTTATGTGAATTGGCTGGACACACAGATGTTAAGCCCTGTCATTCCTTTTCTAGACTTCTTTCTTATGTTCAGAAACATTATTTTGGCCAGGTGGTGGTGGCGCACACCTTTAATCCCAGCACTCAGGAGGCCGAAACAGGATCTCTGTGAGTTTGAGGCCACTTGGTCTACAAGAGCTAGTTCCAAGACAGGCTCCAAAGCAACACAGAGAAACCCTAGCTTGAAAAAGCACAAAGAGCAAAAAATAAAAAAAATACATTATTTTGATAAGTAATATACTTTGCTAAAATGCTCCTGAATTGTACTGTTCAATTCTGTACACCTCAAATGCAAAACGGATGCAGAAAGTCCTAAGAAACTGTTGGTATTCCTAGTGATTATCCTTGCTACTCCAACATTAGGAAAGTCTGTCTTAAGAAATTAAAGTTCAGATGTTGCTTTTTGATAACCTTTTACTTTTTTGATATTTTTACAATGCTGGCTAATGTTTGTTAATCACTGAGTTACATGGCAAATGCTCTATTGGAATCAGTTAAATCACATGGATATAAATGAAGAAAGAGGGTTTGGCATTAAATTATATTAGATTGTCCCTTAAATATGAGGAGCCATTGAACATTTCTTTTTTTTATGTTTTTTTTTTTTAAGATTTTATTTATTTATTATGTATACAACACTCTTCCTCCCTGTATACCTCCAGGCCAGAAGAGGGTGCCAGATCTCATTACAGATGGTTGTGAGCCACCATGTGGTTGCTGGGAATTGAACTCCGGTCCTCTGGAAGAACAATCAATGCTCTTAACCACTGAGCCATCTCTCCAGCCCCCTGAACATTTCTTCATCTGGCTGTTTTAAGTAATGCAAATTCATTTTCTTTTTGCTCAGAAGTACTCTCAGTTTTAAAAACCTATTTAGCAAGAGTGATAGTGCACATCTTTAATCCCAGCACTCCCCAGCACTCAAGGGCAGAGCAGGTGGATCTCTGTGAGTTTGAGGCCGGACTGGTATACAGAGAAAGTTCTAGGCCAGTCAGTCCTAAAAAGTAAGACTGGCCCTTAAAAAAAATACATATATTACATGTATATTTACTCAGACATGATCTGTATATCATGAAATACATTCATCTGAGGTAAAGTATTCCATGATTTCTTTCTGTTAATGTGGTATTTATGTAGCCATGACCACAGTATAATTTTAAAACACACATACTTCACTCTGAAAAGAAACCATATATCCATTTTTCATTATTCTCACACCTCAGTCTATCATGACTAATAATGTTACTTTATACAAAAGACTATAAAGTGATAGAATTGAATACTGTAATATTTGCTAGAATTCTTATGCTCTTAGGGTTTGCTTGTTTAAGGCAGGGTCTCTATGTAGCCCTGGCTGGCCTGGAACTAGCTATGCAGACTAGGCTGCTTTTGAACTCACAGAGATCCACCTTGTCTCTGCCTGTCAAGTGCTGGGATTAAAGGTTTGCACCACCATACCCAGCCTACCTCTTTGTTTTAAAGGTTGATTTAGAACATGGTATTTCTTTTTCTTTTTTTGAGGTTGGATCTCATTTTGTAGCTCTGGCTGTCCTGAAAGTCACTATGAGACCAGGCTAGCCTAGGACTCTCAGAGATCTGCCTGCCTCTGCCTCCTCAGTCCTGGGACTAAATGTCTACAATACCATTCCCATTGAACAAGGTCTTTCTTTTTTTGAACAGCAAAAATATTTAATAGTATAAATAGTAATAAGAGTTACATGAGTAAAAGAAGACTTTTCAGGAAACGTTTTAGAAAAGTTCTTGCATGGATGTAAAAATTAACGTGCAAAAGGAAATTGCCAGCGGCTGGGATAGAGACAACAGTAGTTGAAAGCATGTGTGCTGCTCTTACAGAGGACCCGAGTTCAGTTACCAGCAACTGTGTCAGGCAGCTCACAGTCCCCTGTAGCCCCAGTCACAGGACCATCCACCTCCCCTGGCCTCTCCGGGGCCCCTGCGCACACACGCATTCACACACACACACACACACACACATTCACACACACACACACACACACACACGATAATAAAAATAAATCTTGAAAAGGGAAATCATTGGGTATAAATTTATTCAGCAATGAAATTTGAAGGATTTAGTAGGAAAATTTATAATTTTTTTAAAAATTGTGCTGTATATTAATAAAGAAATCTTACAGATTCTCGTAGACAATCATATTATCAAAGTAGCATCAGTTTATCATTGTGTTATTTCCTGTTTTTTTTTTTTTTTAGCTTCCCAGAATCAAGAACGGCTGTGTGCATTTAAAGATCCCTATCAACAAGACCTTGGGATAGGTGAGAGCAGAATCTCTCATGAAAACGGGACAATATTGTGCTCCAAAGGGAGCACGTGCTATGGCCTGTGGGAGAAATCCAAAGGGGACATCAATCTTGTGAAACAAGGCAAGTATCTC